GGGGCAGAACCTACGCCAATGTAATCTGATGGGGGACCTAATGCGCATGCACAGAGAGCACATTATGTCCTCCCTGTAGGAAAGCATTGACTTAAATCTTTCCTATGGAGATTTTACGGACACTGAATGTCCTCATGCAGAGCGTCAATTAGGTGACAAAGTCCAAACCAGTTGATAGAGAAAATTAAAATGTATAAAAGCAAAAATAGAGCTACTCCACTACCTTCCTTTAGTTTTCCATGCCCTGCGGGCCTCCCTTAATTTTCAAATGTATCGCAAATATAAACTCAATACACGTGATAATCAGACAGTGTTTTTGGATATGAAAGAGAAACAGTTAAAGAGTGTTTATCCAAGAACAGCATGAAATCTAAATCTGTAGGGGTTGTTGGGACAGAGGAGGAGCTTTGACTCAGCGCCGAGGAACATTGGCGTTGGGATCAGGTAAGTAAGTAAAGGGTTTTTAACCCTTTATTTACTAGGCAGGCGCGAGGGAGGGGGAAGGCAGTGGGAGTGATAGTGCCAACAATACAGCTTTGTATTCCTGGCACTATAGTATCCCTTTAAAAGTCCCCAGTAACAGGTAATCGTGCAGCCAAAAAGCAGGTTCTAACAACTCTCCTACTGAAAAAAAAACCAGACAGGACACATAGTTCCTAGTAGAACTACAACACTTCCACCCAGGCCTAGCTCCCATCAACTCTACATTTAACTGATGCTGAAACAATATGAAACATAAAACATAATCATATAGGGAATCATACACACTACCACATAAGACAATAAAATATAAATCTGCAATATAGGGGAAGTTAGGGAAACATAGACAATAGAAAAAAATATAACATTCTGTCTGCATTACCATTATACGCAAATATAAGCAAATCGAGATTCCATTACATAGCACTAACCATAACCACCAGTTTCATACTATGATAAATGAAGCAGGCTATATTCCACTCAAAATTTGCGTGGATCAATAACATACCGTATATACTCGTGTATAAGTCGATCTCATGTATAAGTCGAGTGCAGTTTTGTGACCAACAATTGTGAAATATGCTATGCCTCATGGATAAGTCGAGGGTAAAACTTGGGGCTATGAAATTCTGTGATTTTTATAATTATATACACACACACTCCTACAAACACACACTCTGCATTATATACACACACACTTATACAAACACACACTCTGCATTATTATATACAAACACACACTCTGCTTATACAAACACACACTCTGCATTATATACACACACTCTGTGTATATAATGCAGAGTGTGTATATAATGCAGAGTGTGTGTTTGTGTAGTGTGTGTGAACTGGGTGGGGGAGGGCATTTTTATTTAAATTTTTTTTTTTTAATATTATTTTTTTATTATTTTAAATTTTGTCCCCCCTCCCTGCTTGTTAACTGGTCAGGGAGGGGGGCTATCTTAATCCCTGGTGGTCCAGTGGCATGGGCTGTGAAGTGGGGGGGCCGGCAGGAAGCATTTACTTACCTTTCCTGCAGCTCCTGTCAGCTCCCTTCTCCTCCGTTCCGGTCAGCTCCACTGTAAGTCTCGCGGTCTGGTTGCCGCGCGGATCGTTGCCATGGCTCTGACGGCCGCGGCTCTCTAAGTTGCCATAATACAGACAGTGACTCGAGTATAAGTCGAGTGGGGGTTTTTAAGCACAAAAAATGTGCTGAAAAACTAGACTTATACTCGAGTATATACTGTAATAGCAATCTCCCATGCAAAGTTGTTTCAAGTACCTCTGTCTGTAGCTAGTTAGGTAGATACAGCAGCAAGTTAAACCTAGTATAACACTAGAATCAATGACACAGCATAACTTCCATTCCCACATAGACACAGCAAGGATAAAATAAACATTATCAGTGTGCATGCTGCACTGAGACCCGCACTCTGAGGGGGCCCTATTGGCTGACCCATGTACTTAGGACCATGTCTCAGTGGCTTGGCCATGTGCTGCAGCACTTTAACATTGTGAACAAACCCCTTTAATAATGGCAGCCAGTGCTCGGAGGAAGCAATTACCTCTCACTTCCTCCCAGCTAACAAACAGAGCTGTGTGGAAGGAACAGGCAGAGAGGAGGTGGCATGGTATGGGAGAGCTTCTGACTCCAAGCAGCCTCAGCCAGCAGACTGGACCACATAGAATCAACCCTTCTGCATCTAAAATGTAGGAAACAGGACAGTGTCTGTGCATTCATCTGTGTTTCTTTTTGTGTGTTTGTGTATCCATCTGTGTGTGTATGTCTGTAAGTGTATCTTGTGTCTGTGTATCTGTGTGTGTGTGTTTGTGTGTCTGTAGGTGTCTGTATGTGTGTCTGTGTGTGTCTGCATGTGTGTCACTGTGTGCCTGTGCATCTCTCTGTGCTTGTGCATTTGTATGTGTGTCAGAGTTTGTATTTGTATGAGTGTCATTGTGTGTATCTGTGTATCTACATGTGTGTTAGTGTGTGTCTGTGTATGCATGTGTGTATCTATTACCTGCATGTCTATACTTGTGTATCTGTATGTGTGTCAGTGTTTGTATCTGTGTGTCTATGTATCTACATGTGTGTCTCTTTGTGTATCTGGATGTGTGTCAGTGTGTGTCTGTATGTTTATATATGTGTGGCAGTGTATATGTAAATGCGCTTACATCTCAGCATTCAAACTTAGACACTACACACAAATACACCCCTGCAAACACCAGCACTTCATACAGACACACCTCTGCATTCAAAGCCAAACAAACAAGTAAACCACTGCTTTCAAATGGCAAAAGTACATAACACCACATAACACTACACACAAATATACAACTACATTCACACACACATACTCCATACAAATAGTAGTTGCCCAGCTGGCAAAGGATTGTGGTAGTGTTACCGGAGGAACAACAGGAACAAACCGCAGAAGCCACGCGTGGGAATATTGACACAAGTCTTCAGGGTAAGAGGCTTTATTCACATACCAATGGGGTCTCAGATGAACTCTGTTCAAAAATATCTGAGACAACGTAGTGTAGATTCATTTTTGTAGCAGCATCCCTCCCACAGTATAACCCCTCCTATATTCCTCAGACAAATCAGCACACAGGATATTCAGGATCACCTTATATGGGCAGACCACATGGCTTGTTGAAGACAAAGGAGTTTATTACCCACTTCCACACATGCTCAGTATACTGATGACTCATCCAACTGTTTGTAATCATATACTAATTAGCATATGCCATGTGGAGATTTTGGCCTACTAAATTTTGACCATGCAGGAATCCCACCACATTCCCCCCTTTGATGCCTCTGATATAATATTATTACAGATGCATCACTAATCATAATCTACCAACACCACTCAAGTAACCATGAATCAGTACAGACCTTGTAATCATTCTAACTTAACTTTGTGCTCTCTCATCATTCCTCATCCCGATTATTCTCTCTCTGAGCTAGGGGTTCATACTTCCAGACAGCCATTACATGAGCAGCTGTCTTTCTTTCTATAGTACTCTCTATAACACTACGTATAGATCTGACCACTAGTGGGAGTAGACAGGGCAGAAAGAGACATATAAATATAATAAATACTACTTCTCCTACTAGTGCCTTAATCCCTCCAAGCTGCTCATACCAACTTCCAAACCAACTACTTGGGTTATACCCACTCCAGACCTGAGTAGGTACATGCACAAGTTTAACCATGTGACTGGTACGTTCAGCCACTGCCTGCCCTTCATCGTCTATGTGCAGACAACAGTTACTTAGATCAAACTTCCCGCATACACCTCCTTCTACTGCTAGTAAGTAATCAAGGGCTAGCCTATTCTGGTATATGGCTGATCGCATCCGGGTATTCTGCTTTGCTAAGAGGTCGAGTGCTTGCGCTGTCTCATTGGTGATAATCTCAACCACTGCCTGTAGTCTTATAATACGGTTGAGCATATATATTGGGGTTCTATATCCATAAGTACCATCTTCTGCCCAAGTAGCAGGTCCATAATAATTAATACGTTGGGGAGGCCACTAATCATCTTCCCAGCTACCTATATTCAAAGATGCTCGCTTCCTTTTATGATTTACATCATAAGCCTTAACTCCCAAGGTCTCTCCTGTTTCGATTGGCAACAAGAAGGAGGATGGTTTGAGCATACCTAGCACACATGCCCCTTCCTAGTCTTGTGGTAACTCTGAATATGCCTTCTTACCACAAAGCCAGTATAGATTTGCTGGGGCTTTCCAATTAGATGTAGCAGATAAATCAAACCATACCTCTTTCAAATTAGTGTAATTGGCAAACGGATTAGTAGGTTCTGAGACATTTGAAGCTGACCACCAAGTAGTATCTTTTGTATCAGCATTATAGGCCTTCTGTCCTAAGCAGGTTAACTCTCCAACAGGTGTATTATACATTGGCCCTCTTCTAGCTAAACATACATGGCCTATGATAGATGTTTTTAACTGCCACTCTGATTTACCTCTGGTACTTACTTGATGATCAGACTGAGAAAGTATCTGTTGTTAATCTGTCTCAGAACCAGGGTACCATGTTTTCTTTGCTTCCCATGGCCACTGGTCTCCCATGTTAGTACCTCCACATACAAAGCAGTTAGTTATATTAAGACTACCTGCAATACTCTCAGCCAAATCAATAAATAGGTTTTTAACATTATGGGGAATTTTATCCTCAACACTCATCTCCTCATAGAAGGAATGAAAAACCTGATGAGTCTGGGTTGCTACTGTCTCCATTCCGATGCCTACATATATAATAGCCCCAGTATCCAACCCTGTTCCGTATATTTGGAACCCAAATAGATTTCCGAACTTGTCAATAAAGTGCTGCGGATTGGAAATGGTCATGTGAACAGGGTTACACTCCATAGTTTTACAATACGGTGTAGTGGGCAACCTTTGGATAATCATATCTTGATCTACTGTCTTTCCCCAGGTCGCCAAACTTAACATATCAATAGGGGCAGAAGTTAAAGTCTCTATTTGGGCAGTCAGGATCAGTAGATCTTTTGCTAGGGCATAAATATTTATCGTCAAACCCATAAGTCCGTTCCCATTTCAGATTACCGCATACATTCCAAGGTTTTCTGCTACCCGAAATCGCCTTACATGCATCAAATAATTGAATACCCGTGGAATGTATGGTGCTTATCACAGTCCTATTTATTAATGTCCCCTGGGAGTTATTATTCCAAATTACCAACCAAATTATATGGGGTTGGAATTGGGGATCAATACATTTAGGCTCTCCTACTGCTGGGTGACACACACTATAATCAATATCTAAATATCTACATTTATATACCAATCCCTTACATTCATACTCTGAGTGCCAAATAAGAGTTTGGGACATTTGATTACCTGTTTTTGTAGTCTTAATACAACTAACACAGCTTTGAATATCCTTACCTTTACCCTCCTGAAAATTTATAAAAATACTAAAACATGTAATTAAGCACATCATTCTTGTGGTCCTCATCATCGACCGTGCGACGGCACCTCAGCTTCCTGCTTGTGAGTGCTGCAAGGATTGTTGTCCTTCTGATCCTCACTTTCCTTCACAGAGATCTCTTCGAGACACTCTGGCTTATGACACGTAGGCAGGTGGTCAGGCTTTATTATGGCCCTCAAAACACCTACTTGATGATCTTTGTAGACTTTTTCCTAGAATGTCTCGATATCCCCTCGTACTTTTTCTCACGACACGTTCAGTCCAACTGGGTTATGCGCTTCAACTGGATCTTGCAAGGATTCTCAGGATCTGGAGTAGCTTGCCGAGAGTCTGCTAAAAAAGAACAACATACAAAGGCTAACAGGATACACCCCGAGCTTTAACTCAATATGTATCGGTGGGATGTTACAAGCAAGTCCTGGCAGATTATTTTCTGCCCATACTCCTGGAATGTCAAATAAAGTTCCATCACTCTTAGGGTTTGCATTTGTTATTACAGAATAGAAACGCCATTCTTCTTCTTTTGGCACCAATACCGCTATTATGCCAGGTGATTTATTAAACTTCAGAGACTTTGATCCATTAGGTAAAAAAGTTATCTGAGCTTGAAGTTTTGAAAATAGATCTCGTCCTAGAAGTTGGATTGCACACTCTGGCATGTATAGGAACTGATGCTTCACAAAATGGCCCCCTAGAATGCAAGTACGACTCCTGAGAATCGGTCTAGCAGCGCTTTTTCCAGTAGCTCCTATCACAGTTATAATCTTCTCAGAAGGAGCAACTATCAATTTGGTCACCACAGAATGTTCAGCATGTCTATCATGAAAGGACTTCTCTTTCCCCCTATTGATACATCGGCCATAGGCTCCTATCGGCCAAGTAGGATGGAGCCCGGTCTGTATCAATAGTCTTCCATGACAGTGTCAGCCAGACCTACAAAATCTCTATCTTCCCTATCCCTTAATCTCTAGGTAGGGGGATAATATCTCCCTCCAAAACTTCCTCTATCTCGTCCTCTATAGCTACTACCATAACCACCTTGCCCTCTTCTCTCTCCTTGTCTACCACCTGCAATATATCCTCTCTGTGGGCAGTCACTCTTCCAATGCCCTTCCTCTCTACAATATGCACATTGATCTCTACCTAGTGGTACCCTGCTCATCCTATTCTCAACTCCTCTATTCATCGCCCCTCCTTCTCAAGCTACACCTGAAATAGCTACCACTAACATGTCTATTTTCTTCCTCATCTTATGTTCCTCCTCACGCTTTCTCTCAGTTTCCCTATTCATATACACCTTATTTGCAACCTCCATTAGCTGTGATATAGATATCCCTGCAAATCCCTCTAATTTTTGTAGTTTTCTCTTAATATCGCTCTGGGCCTGGCTGACAAATGCTGAGTCTATCATTCGGAAGTTTTCATGGGCTTCAGGATTGAAAGGAGTGTACAATCTATTTGACTCAAGCAGTCTCTCATAAAAAGCACTGGGTGATTCATTAACTTTTTGTAACACTTCAGCCTTCCTGGACATGTTAATTGCCTTTTTCCCAACTGCCTTCATGCCAGTAATAATGGCTTGTTGATAGGCCTTTAGATGGATCATGTCAGCGTCATTTACGCTCTAAAGGTCAGTAATAATTGCTGACAATCAGCCCAGGTGGGATTATGGGTCTGTATAATAGAGGTGACAAAGTCAATCATGGCTTGAGGTTTATCAGTGTACAAGGAGTTATGGGTCTTCCAATTGAACAGGTCGGACGTGGTAAAAGGGACTTAAACAAATACAGGATCTGCCAATTGCAACTGTCCATTACCGTCAATATGTGGTGGGTCAGGTGTAAGTCGGAGGGGCATTTGGTAATGTCAGGGTTGGAGGTTACCAGTCAGTTGTCGGGTTAGTATGGGACTTCGGCAAGGCTGCTCAGTAATAGGTTCCGGTCTGGGAGTAGTAAGATAGGTGTAAGGGGGTGAGCTAATTTTACTAGTAAGCATTTGGTGGATAAAAAAACGAAAAAAAACCTTAACTTTTAATATATTTATACATAAAATAAAAACTTATATCAATAAATATATTAAAATAGGGTAAGCAGTCCTACTCCTGTCTGTTATAAACAATGTATTATCAATGTAACTCCTGAAGATGGCCAGTAGGTGGCCGTAGAGTGCCTCCATAAAGTCTAATGAAGCAGACTTTAATTATGTCCTTATTTTATTATTACTTATCTTAATCACTGTCCACCCTGATATCTAGGCTTGATTAAAGATTTAGTTCTAAGGTAAATTAAACATCTCAGTTTGTATTTTAGTAAAGGGGATATTTTGGACAAAAGCTGGGAGGGGCCCATCCAGTAACTAAAAAAAGGATAATATACCATCTTATACCATTGATAATTTCTTCCAGTTGTATTTTAGACTGTTACTGTTATTAAGAATTCTCCTCACAATTTAACTGTTAATAAAATTCAATGCTTAAATACACTCCTACCAAAAAGGAAGTCAGCTCAAATTACAAAGAACCAGTTTGTACAGAAATACAAGAGTTTGAAACAAAAGAACAGATAGGTATGTGGGTAGGTGGGGACAATAGAGCAGGGGGAGTGCAAATACCAACTTTACCAGTTTTAGCTTGGGAGGAAGAGTGGGGGAATGGCTACTCTGGCTCTGGAGGATGAATAGGGGTAATCAGATGCAAGGGAGGGTGGGATGTCCAAACCAGATGGAATTAATGCCTTAGTTCTGACCACCATGTGGCTCCATTGTTCCTTATATGACACAGTTTAATTCACCAAGGCAATTTTTCAACAATCAGTTTCCTACAGTCAATATATGGAAACTGATCATAGAATTCCGGCCTACTAGTTCCAGCCACATGTACACTCTGAACTAAATTTAAGTCAACACTGCCACATGGAGGCCGTGCGGCCACCAGGACAGGCCACTCCTTACTACACAGGTTTTTTTTTCTCTTTTTAAAACATACAAGACAAAGGACCAACAGCCTTGTGAATCAGAAGATGATTTCAACAGAATGTCTGATTCAAAAGCTGTACAAATATACACACAGTTTCAACAGTCACACCAATCTCCTTATCACCAGCACCACATCGCATAGTTAATAGGCACAAACACACACGTACACGCACACACAGGATCCTCACATGCTCAACAATATCACGACGTCGCGCACACACAAGTAAAATCAAGACTCACCAAACACTATATACTCATCACTGTAACTATTAATAAAACCATACAACTATCCACGCTATTAATCCACATATACTAAGTGATCACATAACATTTCAACAATTTCGTCTCTACAGTCAGTGGTTATGGTACGGTTAGTAATTATTATACAGTTACACAATTATGGTTTTAAAGTTACAAGGTCAGTTAGTAATAGTTAAAGTCTTACACATACAATATTGAACAGTACTTTTTAGTATTTTTTTCATGCAATATCAGTAGTTATGGTACATGTCAGTGGTTATGGTACCAGTCAGTGGTTTTGGTATTGTGCGCTTTTTTACACTATACACACAATTTACACGTCTGCTAAACGGCAGAGCTCAAGCTTTCTAGCAGGACATACAATTTAACCAATTCACCAACTAGAGTATATTTAACAACATTTACAATAATCCCAACTATTCTAATTGGCCAGCACCTCGAGAACTATCGAACTATTTACACCAAAATTCGGTTAGTCTACGCTGCCCAAGCATCACATATAGCGAACTAGTGGGCGAAATTTACACAGTACCCATTTAGTCTATTTACGCTATCAATAGTCTAGTGGTTGAATTTACACGCCTCCCACTTAGCCAAGATAGGTTGAGATCTAGCAGACGGAATGTACATAGTCTCCAGGTCCCCCCGACCTAGCGACAAAAATTTACATCTAGATACGCTAGTCAAGACAGGACACCGGTGTCCGACATGAACTATTTACACCAAAATTCAGTCTAACCCAAACCACCTGTATTAGACGGGCTGACTACAGAGTGTCTAATTTCCAATAAGCAGTGCGCCTTTGCTTCTTCCTTCCAGTGGGAAGGGGTAGATTCCATACAACCAAACCAATTCCAAATACAAACCCCATGTGGGCCTACCGCTCTAACGATATTAATCTTACCTCTTTGTTCCTGGAACTGGGTTCACACTCATCGATGGAACACCCCGGTACTCACTGCGCAGAAGCCGATGATCTCCTGGACAAAAGGCAAGTGGCGCCGAGACGAAAGGAGGTCCACGCAGTAGAAGTCCAGGGGTGCAGCGTAGAGGATTTGGTAAAAGTTTACCGTCTCAAAACTCTGCACAGGCTTCCATGCGATGAGGTTCCTGGACCCAATGCACCAGAAATGTTACCGGAGGAATAACAGGAACAAACTGCAGAAGCCACACGTAGAGATATGAACACAAGTCTTCAGGAAGTAAGAGGCCTTTATTCACATACCGATCGGGTCTCAGATGAACTCCTGTTCCAAAAATATCTGAGAGACAGAAAGCATGGTGTAGATTCCTTTTGTAAGCAGCATATCCCCTCCCATACAGTATAACCCCTCCTATATTCCTCAGACCAATCAGCACACAGGATATTCAGGATCACCTTATATGGGCAGACCACATGGCTTGTTGAACAAAGGAATTTATTACCCACTTCCACACATGCTCAGTATACTGATGACTCATCCAACTGTTTGCAATCAGATACTAATTAGCATATGCCATGTGGATATTTCGGCCTACTAAATTTTGACCATGCTGGAATCCC